CACAATTTTCTGTCAGCAAAACCATATTTCGCTGCGGTTTTCTCAAGATCGTTGGCCATAAATCTCTTTCCCTATGCAACAGTCATGGGTTTGCAAGCTTTCAAACACCTGTGTCGCTGGTGAATCTCTTACTTTGAAGTGATCAGCGATGAAGTTCACAAAGGTTGCTTTATAGCATTAAATTGCAGTGGTTTTTTTTCCCAAGCGTGCAATCAGAATGTCTCAGGCGAGAGGCTAAGGAATTTCAATGCTCTTTATGAGTTGCATAGCAACCAACCCTTCACAGTACACTTTTCTTTTTCAATTGTTGGATTAACTTCGAATTTAATTGCCTCCTTTCTTGCCAACTTGACCCTCCCCTTGGTAGTTTCATTCATTTGGAAAAAATAAAATAAAATGAAAAAAGTATGACAAATTTTTGTTTTTGTTCTTGCTGTTGTCGTCATTGTTGTTGTTGTTTTTTTTTTTCATGCCAACTGCCGAGTGAAGTCTGTCGGTACTACACACGATTAATGATTAAGTAAAATTCCGGGTTGATCTCCTAGTGATCGCTAAGAACTTGTCCAATATGAGAAATGTTCTTACATGTAGTTTCGGCGCACAAATTTCAAATATTTAGGAGTAAAACAATCTTTTACAGAATCAAGGGGGCAATTTCTCAAAATCGTCATGGGGCTCTTCTTGGAAACTTAAAGTACTGTTTGTTTTCCCCAATCATTGTTTTAAATCCTAGTTTGAGTGGTTTGATCATCAAGATTTATATCAATTGCTTCTAGCGGGATTGTTACCATTTATGTCGTAGAAATATTTCATCTAGTCAATTATCTACACGTTTCCCAGAAAAAGACGCGATGAACGAAACAAAAACAATTCGGGTGATAAATGCACAATTGTTAATTAGTTACTAGTAAAAGGGCAAGTAATGGCAAATATTTGTTTAATACTAACGTATCCAAGCACAATTTACAGCTGCAGTGACACAAGTCTTTCAGTCATTGTTGCGTCTTCTCTCAATTAAC